CGAAGTGGAGCCTTCGCAATGCCACTTTGGGACAACAAGCAGTTTTGCCCACCTTCTCTCTGATCACTCCATGTGATACAAGCTTCACGTGCATTGAATCCCCTTCAATCTCATTCTGACTCTCTCGCTCTTTGTGTCTCTCTCTCTCTTGCGTTCATTAGGTTGCAACAAACCGCAACTATCAGTTCATCATTGGGCTGCAACACAATGCCACAGGTGATGAGTAACCGGTTTTAGTTGGTATATGCGCATGTGCGTGTCTGCTCAATGTTGTAGGTCGTCGGAAAATAGGGCCAGAGATGGTGGAACCTTGTGGTCGTTTGTTAAGGCATGATGAAAACTTGTCATCGCTCCTCTCGGTCTGCGAGGCAGCGCATCCACGTTCTTTCACCAGTCACCTTTCACGCCTCTTGTCATGCCAACATCAATCAGGCCTAAGTGACCTGAACACAAACTGGGAGGCGATTTAGACGGATAGGCCATTTCTTGCCCACAGTCACATTTTAACCTGACCTCATAGTGGGAATGATTTACAACGCTAAAATAAGAAGGAAAAAACAGTGATGCCCCACATTTGGCTGAAGCTTTGCATCTCATCACAGGAAAACAACGCCTTCGATACAAGTTAAAGGGAATTTTAGGGGTTAGGGAACGATTGGGCATTACCTTATGCCTTTTTTGTGCATTTTTTTTTGCAGAAGTCCACCTTACCACTTGTGTTGGGTCAACTTCTTGAGCAGTGAGCTTTTCGTTTATGGTGAGGGCTCATGTGAGCAAGAAATTGTTTTATGCCTACACATTCCCCTTCAACATTAGCAATTGCTTAAATTTCTCCCCATCATTCCCATTATTGAGTCATTTTTCCACAGTCTCGCCTTACAAGTGTGTCCGCATCGAAACCTTCAGCATCACAGGCCTGAGAAGCGCTTAAGTCCCTCTTTTTTTTGCATAAAAATCCGCATTCATGTTGAACACCTCGGTCGAGATGACGCCTGTGGACGTCTGGACTTTTGTAGCGCAAAAGCCAAAATCCGCAGTCAGTAGAATTTACGATGTTGAAGTAGATTCACCCAACCACGGGAATAGATGTGGAGGACACAACGTCTCCTACTTCTGTTGATCAAATTATGGCATTTTTTTTTCAAATTTTTGCCGCAAGGTGTTACAGTAATTTGGATCAACAATGTAGTCAAATGCCACCATTTGTATGCAACCCCTTCGGCCCCCTCGAGGGCGTAAAATGTTAGACTGATAGGTCTGCTAGACTTACACGTGGGGCGAAGTGAGGGACTGCGTCTTGACTACCACCCATTTGAGGCAGGCTTTAAAGCACCGTCTTAAACAGTAGAATTCGCATGCATACAGGGTGGTGAAGGTAGCTGGCTAAACACTCAAGTTGTGTTTGTGTGCGAATATTTACCTGCAGCATCCACACCACCTAAAGTGCCGGAGGGTGGTGAGAGAAAGGCAGTGTCGATTTCTTTTGTCCCTCAAAGTCCACACCCAGAACAACTTTGTGTAGACATTACAATAGGAAACGATATGAGAGGAAGTGTGGAAAGAGTGAGGCATCACTGATCACTAACTCAATTTTGTTGCCTCCTCTCTCCTCGTGTGTGTGTGTGTGTGTGTGTGTGTGTG